AAATATGAAAAAAATGTGGCATTCTATTCTAATTACTTACTGAGAAATATCTATTAAGAATAGTCAATATTGTTTCTACATTTCCACCATTTCCTACATTTCTACCACTTAAAAAACAAATGAAACGTCCTATTCTAACTACTTGTTACAAATTATCTTTCCCTTCAACAGTGGAATTATTTAGCAACGTCAAGAAAATAACCAATCCAAATTCTCATAAGTTCTCTATAAAACTTCTTACTTAACCCTTTCGCTACTTCAGATTTCAACGCGTAACTGAGTCACTGACGGTAAATTTTTAATCACGGCTACAAACTATCTTACTTCGCCCGAAACTGCGTGAGGATAAAATTCACTGTTAAACTAAGGTAGAACTGCGTCAAAAGGCTCCAACAGTCCGAAACAAATTTTCAAAACGCCTACAGTCACCAGTAGCACCGAAAGTGCCACTAAAACCGAAGTTGAATTCGATTGAGAACTTCGCGAAGATCCGTTGAAATTGCGCACAGCAGATATCAATGAAGAAAGTGAAGGTTCGTCAAAGTTGAGCCAACGTGGACAGAGGATGGTCCAGGTAAGGCTCGTGACACCGGTCCAGCCGACGCTGTCAGAACTTTATCAGATAATAAGCGAATTAAACAGCGGCAGGTCGGTGGCTGGCGGACATTTAAAGTGCTCGTCCATGTCCACGTCCGTCCTGGCTAATTACCGTCGACTTCAACCGCGATCCCGGACGGCAAATTTGATCCTGGACAAAATAATTTCCATCCATCTGGCGGTGCTACTCTGTCCCTTTATTTTTTCTTTCTCTCTCTCTCTCTCTTTCTTCATCCTCGCCTCTGTCATTTTCGTTTCGATTCCCGTCCCTCCGCAGCCCTCTATACTAATTCGCCCTTTTCCACTCGTTGCTTCATTCTCCATCGGTTTAGCTTCACGTTTGTCTTTTACAAATTTCCCTTCTTTATTTCCTTTTTTTCGAGGGATGATTGATCGACACGGGTTTCACTCAACGTCAATTAGAACGAACCGAAGGGGTTCGAGTCGGAGATCCTGATGGGAAGCTTGCGGGAGATACTCGAGTGAAGGGTTCCTTTGGAATTCGTGGAAATTAAGATTTCAAGATTTTCGAAACGAAGGATGTTAGGTGTGTTTGGACGAATTAGAGGGTTTGCTGTGTAGCGACAGTATTAAATGGATTATATAGATATTTGAACGGTGCAGGCAGGGAGGAGAGACTCTGTAATAATGCAGGACAAACTTGAAGGTTTCTCGGTGTCCGAAGACGGACTGGGGTTAAATTTTCAGCGTGTCCACCGAGGTTGTTACGGATTAGTTAATCAAGGAACGCGGGGATTGCACCGACAGAATTCTGTCTGACATATCTCTACAGGCGAAACGTGAACTTCTCTTATCTAAGGAGGAGTTTTTTCAACTTGAATGAAAAGTGATAGTTGGCGCTTATAGGCGCTTTTGCTGTAATTCTACTCTAATTCTATCTTCCAAGAATTTCCAGCTTAATTCAACGAAAGAAATTTGAAAAATGTTGGATTGTTTCTAACAACACCCTGTAGAAATAATGAAGCGAGGACAAAAATGTCTCCGCGTTCCTTCAAACCAAGGCGCTAAGACTTCCACCAGATGTGTCTGGTGTTCGTCTTCGAGTCTGCACACTGCGATACAATAGAGTAAGCTAGGTATAAGCCAGTGACGGCGAACCTTTCGAGCTTGGTGTGTCAAAATTGGGAAAAAATCTAGCTTAATATCCATAATTGTTGCGAGCGTTACGACCTTGTACAGACTCGCTATGGTTCAGCTCGGAACTAACGATTCTGAACCTCGTTGATAGAAGACAGACACCGTTGTTTGTGTGATGATTATTTGTGATCTGCTCGGTTTGCGTGTCATAGGTTCGCCATCACTGGTACCAGCGGACCCCAACTTTCCCGTTTTGGGTGTCCAGAGACAGATCGTTGGAGCATTCGAAAGAGTAAAGACGTTTCCTCTGAGTCCGATAATAAGTTCCTCTGAGTTTACAAAGACTATTTCATTTCCACAGCCCATTTCCAATAAAAAAGGTGCAGCCGAAAGAAAAATTTCTCTGACAAGTTATTCTCCGTGCGTTGCGTACAAAAATGAATCGCAGCGAAAGGGTGAAGAACCGATAAACACGGAGAAATTCAATAACGCCGAATAAGTAGAATAGATTGAAACAGCCGATGGATCGATGAACCTCGTCCAAGCATAATTACCGTCCACAGGATCCCGCCCAATTACCCCGCGCAAAAAAGGGGTGCGCTGTTCGTGTTACAAGCTCCCGTTCTAAGCTGGAAACCGAGCAAGACACAGAGGTCGATTAATCACGAGCAACGAACCCTTTGTCGCCCGTGGAGCCCCTCTTTAAAGATCCCCCGAAACGGTCGAATCACAGCTCGAGCAAGTTAATCCGTCCGTCGATCCTCGCGCGATCGACTCTGTCCCGCTCGAGGCGCGGATAAACATCTGAAATGAATTCCAAGGGGTGGTTCACGGGGACAGTCACGAACAGACAGAAGTGGAGAGGGGAGAGACGGAGTGGAGCTGGCCAGGCCTAAGGGGGCGGCTAAATTAAGAGTAGAAAGAAGGGAGCAGCTTCGAGCAATCTCCGAACCGAGAGAAACGAGCCGAACGCTCGTAATGCGAGCCGCTTAAAGTTGCAATGGCTCTCTGGGGTATAAAAAAAAAAAGAAGAAAAAGAGGGAAGGGACGGGAGAGAATCGAGTGACTGACTGACTGACTGAAGAACGAGAAAACCGCGACTCGCTTGAGAAATTGGGAGAGTATAGGAGAATCAGTGGTCCTAGGGACGATCATTTTTGGATCGAAATTTCTAAATTTCAACCCCCGAAAAATTCTCGTTCTTGACCCTTTCGTTGCGGCAGATTTGAACGCGAGTTGTCTGAGAAATTGCGAGACTAGGAGAATCACTGGTTCCACGAACGATCGACTTTTAGATCGAAATTTCTAAATTTCAACCCCCGAAAAATTCCCGCCTTTAACCCTTTCGCTACGGCAGACTTTAACACGCGACGATTTTTTCCTCATCGTTTCAAAATTCGATTTACCAAATTAAGATGGAAGTGCGTGAAGGTACAATTAATTATTAAAAGAAACTGAAAGTGCGCCAAAGGCTTCAACAATATAGCTCCACAGGCGCCGACAGTGGAGAAAGGGTTGAAAAAAGAACGCACCCCTAGCTGCTACCTTGAAATTTCGAGGACACGCTACAGGCTGAAAAGGTGGGCGCGTTTTTAAGGGAGTAAAATATACGTCGGCGGGGGTGCTGTTTGCCGGACGAGCAAACACAGCCGGGCGCCGCGCACTTCTCGAGAGGGCGTAATCGAAATTGCGGCTTCGACGTCGACGAACGAGTTTCCGCGGAATCGTGATGCGACCGCGCTGATTCGATTACCGTCCAGCAACACACAGAGATTCGGTAGCGAGGGGAGGGAGGGAGAGAGGGCTTTAGTTTCACCCTGCAAAGGAGAGAAGTTGGTGTGCGTTGGAGAGATAGGGTGGGGTTTGGCGGGTCTCTCTCCTGGTCCGTGAATAAGGCCGAGAGGGTTGGCTTTGGCCGGCGGCTAGCCAGCTAGCTAACGCACTCCTGGGAAGACATAAATGTGTCCCTTTAGTGGCGCGGCTACCCGTTCTGCGTGCGCCACAACGATTCTGCCACCCTTTGCATGCACTTTGTCGGATATATCGTGGCATATGCTCGGGAATCTTTTGTGTACGGGTGTGTTGCGCCTGTCTCTCTGTGACTTTTTTTTCTTTCTTTCCTTTCTTGGTTCGCTGATCTTTCTGACCTCTCTCCTTCTGTGTTCGGCCGCTTTTTCACCGCTGCGAATTTGTTGGACGGAATTCATTTTTTTTTTTATTTCGGCTTCTCTGTGAAGAAATTTGTAAATTTTGCGAATTTTGAGAACGCAGGGGTTGAAGTGTACGCGTTGCTTGAGTACAAGGATAGAAGAGACGCAGACAGAGAAATTATCATGGGTGCGATTTGTATTTGTCACCATAATTTTCACCATTATACACACCATGAATGAGAGCGCACGTAACGAAGCGGCGAGCTAGATTGTACAGGATGTTCCACGCAACGTGGACTCCCTATTATTTCACACCTACACTTTTTCATAATTTCTCTGAAAAAAGAAGAACGAAAATTCTTGTCCGGTTTGTAGGTTACTCCAAGCTTATTCTCGTCTGCAAATCACTGTACCAGATCAATCGGACGAAGTAGTTAATTGTACACTGTGACAGTATTCCGTGTAGATAGTAAATGGACTTGGGAGATCGGTCGAGTAAGACCGAGTCAAACCGAACTGGGTCCTCTGTTACTCCCAGGTAATCGAATTACCTAAGCGTATGTCGAATTGGTGGAAACTCGTGGCCGTATAAACTGGATGTAGGAGAAATTTTCGAGGCGTCCCACGGGTCTGATAAAAACCTTGCACCTTCGAGTGAAAGACCGAGTCCCGACACTTCGTGCTCGCTTCATTGAAATTAGCGTAATTGATATCGAAGCACACACGGCGAAACGAGATTAAGAAAATGCCGAGCGTAGTAATTAAACGTTGAAAAGTTGCAAATTGCAGTTCCTCCAAAGTGCGATTGAGCTAATTATCGAAATCTTCGAATTATCCATTGTTCCCCGGTTTTGTCGAATAATTGGCAATTTCTGTGGACACGAAAGTGTATTCTTCGGTCCAGGAAGGGAACGTGCGTTTGAAAAAAAAAAACGAGGCGAGAACGAGGAAGAGAAAGGGAGAGACCGAACCCTCTTTATCGCGGTGGTTTCGCTGCTTGTTAGGATCTCCTCCGGATCTCCGAGATTTTTATGGGTCGCGGTACTACTTAAGAATCTCTGCCTCTTCCTTTCCGCTCGTCTTTTATGGACTGCTGATCGAGTGAAAATTTCGCGGAAAGATACAACCCTTTGCGATGGGAACTTTATGACTCACCACTGTCGAGGCTGTTCTGGTTCTCCAAGTCTGGCCCTTGGACCGGCGATGGCCTTCCCTCTTGCAAGTATTCTGAAACAGAACGTTTTGCTACATTTAGCAACGGTGATATAAGTTCGTCACGTGTCGTTAACCCTTTCGAGTGTCGAATCTGTGCAAATTTCTGTGGACTGAAGTTGGATACTTGTTAAAATATAATTGTCATCGTTATTTAAGCTCTTCGTTTCTTTAAATTGCAATTCTTTTAGAGCGACACTGTATTTGAAATCTAAAGAGAGCTGAATATTAAATATTTCGTTAATTAACGCGTTCGCTATCTCAGTTACTTTCTCACATTCTTCGATTTACATGCTTAACCCTTTGAGAACGATAAACACTACGAACACAACCAGCAACAAAAATAGTTGGCTTTGCCATAAACTCACATACTTATTTATATTTCAAGGAGAGAGAATTTTGAAATGATTTAACTTTAAAAAAATTAGAACAGTGACATATGTTCTCAAAACATCAGTAGGTATCTCAATATAATAGGGTAATTCCGGGAGAGACGGACCAGGCAAGTATTTCCTACATTATCCGCCAGATATGGAGGAAAAATCACCGAAAGCCACGCTCGATCGCTTTCCGTAAAACAAAAGAATACCGACGCGTTCCACATTTGCCGGATAATGTAGGAAATACTTGCCTGGTCCGTCTCCCGGAATTACCCTACACAGGGTGTCCCGTAACTCTTCGAACACCCGGAAATGGGGGGTTGCTGGGGTAACTCTGAACAACTTACCAAAATGTTGTTTGAAGCTTCGTTTTTGAATTATTGACGAAAAACACTAAGGGTTAATACCCGACTAGAATTTCAGTTAGGCATACCTAAAGACGAATGTGGGCCTAATGCGGAAGCGATTAGGCACACCTAAATGCTGCAAGCCTAATCGTTACCGCATTAGGTCCTAATACGGAAGGAACGATGCATGCCTAAATTGGGCATTCCTAACTGTTGCCATACGTGGCCCAAATGGGGGTGGTCGAGCGCACACCTAGATTAGGTGGAGTGGGGCTCTCAAACTTCTACGTAGGAATATTTACAGACATCTCAGTGTCGGACGTACGTTTGCGTGAGAGCTTTGAACAAGACAAAAGTTTTTACAATTTAATCGATACAGTGTCTTGACGAGATATTCCTCGTGAGATTTCATTAATGTCTCCCAATGACAATAAAGCTATTCTAATAAAGCTACCCTAATAAAGCTATTCTAATATGGGCCTCATTGAATAGTCATTGGGAAAGCCTAATGCGGCCCTAACGCGGCTTTCCCAATTAGGCGGTCATGAATATTCCGCGTTACATACCGCGTGCGGGCCTGATGGGACCTAATGTCTGCCTAACTGAAATTTCTAGTCTACAATTTTACATACGATAGATGCCTGCACAGATCCACACCTATTACTCATTAAACACTCAAACCTTGCGTTTTTATAACGTAGAAATTACATGTAAAATGTAAATAATACCGTAAATGTGGAGAGCTAGTGCGTCACAAACACATACACTACCTGCCAATTTACATCGGTATTGATGTTGTAGAGATCAATAGCACTTTACCTCATTTCGATTGATTTGAATGATAAAAAATTCGTTAAGAGTTTCTTAAAATTGCAAACTTTTTTCTGGAAATTTTCGTGCAACTTACAATGCACAGTGATTCCAAAGATTTGACCGGTGGTGTATGACAAATCTTCCAGAAGACCTGAAACTCTGTCAATTTCGTGAATTGATACCGGAGACGCCGTCGGTCGAGAGTCCAGGTCCCGAAAATCCACGGGCGTAATTTCAGGAAACACACCGCCTAATAGGGGTCCGCATTGAAATTTCATGGGATTTTGTGCGATCGAGCAGAACGAACTTAGATACACGAGGCGACGGTAAGCGGGCCAGAACATGCGCGACCCCTTTTGCTACACGGATGCGTATAATACGAGAAAGGGTGGAAAAGAGCCGTGGCAGCCCCATGGGAGCCATACCCCGGTGATATTGGCTCCCATAGCCCATTCCTGTGCATAGGAGACCGAACCACCTTGGGCCAGCGTCGAGGAAAACTGGCCAAAATTCAAATTTCCCACTGGAGTATGCGCAACTTTAAGCGTAACTTGTGCGAAACAACCACCGATGACCCTTTTGTACACCGCGATCGGACTTTTTCCCTTAAACGTGTATCGATCATGCCTCCCCTGCGAGATACGCGCCAAGAAAAACCTTGGAAAATTCATTCCTTTTTTTAAATACCCTCCGATGAAAAGTTTCGAATCTGATTACCAGAAAGAGAGAGAGATTACATCTGTAATTATTCGTTGTTTGAAATTCCACGAAAATTTGTTTAAAATTGATTTACTCGTCGGACGAATTTTACTCGAAATTTATTTATTTTAATTTTTCCACATTTCCACGCGCAAGGTACGTAAACAGATTTGTTCGATTTTCAGATTAAAACTAATTTCAACTCTGTGAAAACGCCAATTAAAATTAAAGCCAGAGTTCGACCGGGGTACGATTAAAAAATTCTCAAAGCTGTAGATACCATTTAACCTCTCTAGAAATAAAAAGAATTGGTGCATTCGAACCGCGAAAGAATCTATCGACGAACAATTCTAATTTACAAGATCAATTTGAAAAAGAAAAACAAGGATCATTCCGCGTACTCTCTTCTTCTCGTTCTGAATCATTCACAAAGCAACAATACGCGAAAGTAACCTTCTAAAACAGTAACAGGCCCGCGATTCTCAAAGGAGTATCGCGACAACAAGTTGCGCACGAGCGTGCCCTTTTGCCAAGTTCTCGATCCACCGGTTAATGATTTATTCGAAACGGGGAATAATTCATTGATAAGGCGACACAGAAGCGTAAGTGGAGAGAAGGTCCTGGGATGGCGATGCTCAAGCTGTTGGAATTATCATCGCTCATAAGTCACGGCGGCCGCGAAACGTTGCAGCGGGCGCGGCTCGTGGTTTCAGAGAAGAGATAACTCGTATAAATAACCCGGAAGTCCGCGGTGTACAATAGTCTTTTTTTACGAGTATGACTTTTGGGAGTTCCAAGGCCGCGCTTGGGACACTGTTGGTAATCAGTTTGTCGTTGCCACCGAAATATACTACGTGAACGGTCGGAAAAGGAGAGAGTGGGGAGGAAAAACATTTCACTTGCTGGAATTTTAGATTTCCCATTACGTTGCAACGAGATCACGGTTCGAGGACAAATTTCACGTAGATTCGGATATCTTTGAGAGGAAGTTATCAGCCTTGTATTGCAACCTTTAAAGGCGATAGTAAGTAAGTAGGTTCTTGGTTTTGCGAGGTTCAGAAGTGATACTAAATACTTACAGTACATCTGATTACGGTGAACACGAGTATATCAGCTTTTCTCGGTTAATCAATCGTATTACGTTAATCATGCGGTGTTCGATGAATCGCGAATCAGAAGAGACCTCGAATTCTCCAATGGCCCTACGAACTCCCTCTTTGAGCCCTCGAAATCTCACCTAATACCTCTCTAACTTTTCCCATCGGTAAGCCTAATTTAGAGGGATTACTTGAAAGTCTTTCTCGCGAAAAATTGTCACACTTAAACCTTCCAAGTTTCTAATAATTCATAGGAGATTTCATAGGAGATCGAACAAAAAATACTTGAAACTTCGAAATTTCCAATCGTTCGTATCATTCCCGAATTGACTTCATAGGAGATCGAACAAAAAAATACTTAAAATTTCGAAATTTCCTTCCGTGCAGATCAAAGCAAAAATGAAAAAAAAAAGAAATACCCAAAACTTCGAAATTTCCAATCATTCATATCATTCCCGAAGAATGTTCCCTAATTAATTTCATGTGTGATCAAAGCAAAAGAAGCACAAAAGAAAAAATACTTAGAATTTTCAAATTTCCACTAATTCGCATCATTCCCGAAGAACACTCCCAAACAGATTTCGCCGGAGATCAAACAAAAAAAAAAAAAGAGAAAAGAAAATGAAAAAGTGATCGATACCTGACCTAACCTAAGACACTTAATCGAGCGCAAAAGGGTCAAGTATATAGTTTGCCTGGCCGGTTACGATTGTCGTAGCGTGGACGCGTATAAATTTCGGGCGGGCGTTCGAAGCTGTTGGGAACCGGTTTTGGTTTTGTATTAGCATGTAACTCCGGCAGGAGTTGAAGTTGCGATGGCTTGTGGGTGGCTGGGCGAACGTAGGGAGGGTAATTACCTCCTTGGGGAGTCCCCCGTCCGTGGCGTAGCCGGCTATAGCCCCAGCACGGGTACAGAGGCTTCCCACTGCTCCCAGTGGTCCCGCGGGAACACCGCCAGTGGCTCTCATGCCGCTGGTTCTCATTCGACCCAAATTGAACGTAGAGCTCGCGCTCGCGCTCCCCTTACGCCAGGAATTTTCTTTCATAAGCCTTGCCAAGCGTTTCCATTATGCAACCAAGAGGAGCAGACGGGATCTGACGACTTGAACCTCGACCTGTATTTTTCTGGGACGCCATTTTACAAATTCCTTCGTGAAAATGTAATTATCGCGAATCGTACAAAGTCGCCGAGATTTTTCCTATGTTCAACGCCAGCTCGATATTTCACCCTCGTTCCGATTTTTCTATTCTTCCTGTGCAAAACGTGTTCGCTTTTCTTTTACTTTTTTTAAATTTAATATCGTCGTATTTGTAATTTTTGTAGGTTAGAGGTGTAACTGAGTGTATCAGTTTTTGGATACCCGGTGAATGTGAGGGAAATAATTTGTCAAATTGTTAGGGTAGTGGAAATGATTGATAGTAGATTTTGTTACACCAAGTTTTTCTAACTTTGAAACATTATTGCATACCGGGTGTCTTATTATTAGAAACGAATAGAAATGAATTCTCTCCGGTTGGATTCACATAATTGATTCAAAGCTGGCAAAAAAGTGACGAAAAGTCATCGAGAATAATGGAAATAATTTCGACGATCCATGTTTTCGTTGTTTCCAAAGAAATCATCGATTCTACCGAAAATTCGGAAAGAATTCACTTCTGCGCCCAATATTTCCGAACAA